GGGGGACAAAGAAGCCATACAAGTAGATGATAAAAAGTTCAATTTTCTTGTTGATTTATGCAGAGAAAAGGACATGAAAATCATCCATCAATCAGAAAAACAAAAGAAGAAGAAGAAAAACATCTTCAAAAAACCACTTACGTAAAAAGCTTAGCAGCCATCTGCAGATGAAACCTGGACTTTTCATCTTTTATAACTGATGAGTCATGTTCTTTGCCCGGAGAGAATTCTATGTTTCCTAGGTGTAGAATTGCTGCCAAGGTACGAAATATTGCTTCCTGTTATTGAAAGGACAATGCAATGCAATAATTAATGAAGTAGAATAATTATGCTACTAAACAAAGAAATATTGATTAGGATAATAAACTACAGCTGCAAAACCTGTTCCTCCTGAGTGATTCCAACAATGTCCATAGCTCTCCTTGTCTTGATATACTCCTCAGCATTGCTAACTCCATCTAGCTCATAGGTTTTGCTCTGGTTCAAGTAGTGAAAATCACTCGGATGACCTAGCTTGTACCTCTCAGCATCCTGAAGAAGTAAGAACATAAAAGAGAAATAACCTTAAACTTTTACTGTGATAGTCAAATCGCATCAACTAGCCACTTGGAACAACCTAAACTACAGCATACACATCAATGATGTCACCACATAGAAGTTAATATACACACAAGGAAAAGAATATCAGAACACACATTTCACTTGGCATGAAGAATTTTTTTTGAAAATGAAAACATGAAGAATTTCATGAATTAAACATCATAACCAAGCACATGGAGGGAAGAAAATACCATTCCGGATGCACATAATTGATAAAAGCAGTGATAATTCCTCTCAGGATCTGTTATCTGAACAACGCGAGATCTCTCCAGAAGATAAGTCCTAATTGCAGCACCAGATATTCTACCACTTGCATCAAATTGGATCTCAACAAACTTGCCAAAACGACTGCAAGACACAAGGATTAGAGGTATTAATCATAATTCAATTGACCTCAAGAATGGCTGCCCCATGTTCTGCTATCACTTTACTGAATAAGTACAAGTTCAACAATTACAATTAATTTGAAATAACAAGTTTCATAATAAAATGGTGAAAGACAAGACAGAGAGATTCCATATAAAGGAGAAAATTATGCTTTTACAGAAAACAAAGAAACCAGCTTCACCGCTGAAATAATGAACATCACCGATTGCATCAAATGATACATGTGAGCAATGCGAACATTAGTAGTCAAAAACACACCTTGAATTGTCGTTCCTAATAGTACGTGCATTGCCAAAGGCCTCCAGCAACGGGTTAGACTAGACCAAAAATGAAAAAGGATTAAGAGTTAGTAATCTGAACCTTTTTAACTGCAAAAAAAATCAACCAAATTTAATCATCAATGAAAGAATTTCACTAAAAACAAAAAAGAAAAAGAAAAGGGAAAAAGAATCTCACTACAGTAAATAGAAAACACTGAAACAATAAAGAATCATAGAGGATGATCTCCAAGCAATTAGAATTGCATTAGCAATCTTAACCTAACTGGCACTACATCTAGATTTTGATGATGAAAAAACACTAGGCTAGAAACTAACTGTTCCAATGACATGAGAATGACAGTAAGAACACTACAGTTTATTTATTGAGCTTTAGTCTGTCATTTGCTGATTTGATGGAGAAAGAATGTTGTCAATTCGCGTGCAAGAAGAATGTTGATGCTTCGTAAGGTAATGGGATAAGATGATTAGTCCTTTACATCTGGAAAAGGAAGGATGCTATCCCTCCCAGTCTGAGCCACATTAGCTTTGTTAGATAGTTATGTGTAAATAGTCCTAGTCCCATATGTAGTAAGAGTAGAGTATGTCCTAGTTTCGTATGTAGTAGGAGTAGAATATGTCCTAGTCCTATATGTAGTAGGAGTAGAATATGTATTATATATAGGGGTTATTGTATCATTGTTAATAAATAGATTTTTCTCCCGTGCATTCTCACATGGTATCAGAGCTTCAGTGAGAAAATTATCGCTGAGCGTCATTCCAGCGCATCCGGGAAGAAAGATCTCGTCGCCGTGCAATTTTCCGGCAACTTCGTTTTGTTCCCAGGGTTCATCACTAATACAATGGTGTTGTGCATATACCAATACCACCATCAGATCTGAAACCCTTGTGTGACCAAACCCTAGAAATTCCAGTCCCATCTGAACAAAAAAGTCAGTCACCGTGCGTCTTTCCGGTTGACGACTCAAGATTGAATTGCGTTATTTCCTCATCGGCAAGTGTTGTGCGAAAACCAACACTATCATCTTGTTCGGGAAATTCAGGCGACAAAACCCCAATCAATCGCTCCGGCAGAAAGTCATGTGCCTCCACGCGCCGCCAAAATTAGGGTTTCGGCGAGCTACATTAACTTTTCCAACGTGTGTGAGCCATTCCGGCCACTTTTTGACAAAACTTCTTCAGGACAACTTACTTGTCCAGTGATTCCGAACCTACCCATATAGATTACATCAAATGCTGACAATTTTTATTTTCTCCGGCGTGAACATTGCACTTTTTCCGACGTAAACGGTTCACTTTTTCCGACGTAAACAGTTCACTTTTTCCGGCGTAAACAGTGATTTCCAGAATTCTATTTTCTGTTGGTGTTTGAGAATCTATTTTGTAGTGTGGAATTTGGCATAGTCTCACTATTTTCAAATTTTTCTGGAGACTTTTCGGCATCATCAACCACCTGGTTTTGTTGCTCAAGGGAGTCTAGTGGCCTTGTATGTCGAATGATCAGCTTGCAAATATTTTCACCAAGTCCCTCACTGATCCTCGTATTAGTTACATATGTAACAAGCTCAGTACATATGATTTGTATGCACCGGCTTGAGGGGGAGTGTTAGATAGTTATGTGTAAATAGTCCTAGTCCCATATGTAGTATGAGTAGAGTATGTCCTAGTCCCGTATGTAGTAGGAGTAGAATATGTCCTAGTTATATATGTAGTCGGAGTAGAATATGTATTATATATAGAGCTTATTGTATCATTGTTAATAAATAGATTTTTCTCTCATGCATTCTCACAAGCTTCATGACAGGAACATTCATTGTTGCGTGCAGATTTACAGGTTCCTCTCGTATGACATCCCTCATCACAATGTGAAATGTTTTGATCTGATCAGTTTTTCTTTCCTGGGCGCATTTAGCAAACTGTTGGAATGAACAGCCATCCAATAAGTTTATGGAGATGCCACCTCCAGTGCAGTTAAGATGCATAGAAGTCTTGACAAAGAAATGGATTATAAAATTTGTGCATCTATTTTGTCCACGCAGCTCGATCTGAAGCTTGAACATCTGAATGGTTTTCTAAGTGAATATCATATCCTTAAGAACTGTTGTGTTAGTTGAACCCAATACAGCGAGATTCAGACACTGCTGATAGGCTAGGAATAAGCGTCATGAAAGGGCAAACTGGATGGAGTGATAGTGGTCTACTGAAATGGCTGCACATGCCAGCGCATGTACTGATAAAGAAAGGGCTCTGGTTCCACATGTGAGGTACACGAGACTCTTCTGAGGTCAACACTTGTAATTTGAGGTAGATGTCTACATGTTTTCGCTATTACTGAGAGGATATAGTGGACCTCTACTGGAAGTTGCAAATTGAAGAACCAAGATCTGTCATATTGGCTCTGTTTCAGTGTTTTGCTTTGTTTTTTTTTTCTTTAATGAGAAACCAGAGGATGGACTCACATATTGACTCTGATAACATGTAAAGATTTGAGAATGAAACTTATTATTCCCTCAAGCCAATGAAGACGGATAATGTTTACAAGTTTACAAGTAATCCCAAGAAAAAGAAGAGCATGTCATTGCAACCCATAAATCTCTGAATTCCACAGTTATAGGGATTCGGGATTTTTCATATTTACAAGGCATAGTATCTTGCTTCATTTTCATATTCTTAACGTATTTAAAAGGATGGATAAAATATTGCATCTCCACTATTATCATTTCTAATATATATGAGGAGCCAACTCAATTTTCCCAAGCATAAAGAGTACTCAATTGAGTAAAACTCTATCTCCCTTCTTGTTCAAATTGGTTAGGGTAGTCTTGAGCAGAACGATAGATACAACAGCTGGAGAGGACGGCTAAAAGGTTTCAGGATGCAAATAGCTCAGATCCAGGCAGTATCTCTTACATTTTGTATGAGGATGACACAATGGTTCTTGTGATGCTGATGTGATATTGTTAAAATTCCTGAAAATAATCCTAATAGCCTTTGAAGTTGTTTTAGAGTTGCGCATCATCCTGGAAATAAATTACATTATATCCCATGAATGAGGTGGAAAGCGTGCAGCAACTAGCAGAGGTTTCTACAAATTAGCCTTCTGCCCGCCAACCTATCTGACTCTTCCCGTAGGGACAAGCAAAGCTTTATCACTGTTGCAAGGGGTTATTGAGAAGTTTGAGGAAAAAATAAGATTTTTGGAAACAGCATTATTTATCTTTTGGAGGTAAGGTAACTCTAACAAATAGCGTAATTGATATCTCACCTGCTTATGCTATGTCACTGTTTCCACTTCCAAAGAAGGTGGAAAAGCAGCCTACAAAGTAGAGTGCTTTTCATGGTTAGTAGCTAAAGAGGGTCTGGTGCAAGAGGTATGACTATTTGCAACAGATGTGTCAATAATTTCCTGAAGAAAATTATGAAGACGCAAAGCACCCCTTTTTTTTTTGGAAGGAAAAAGTTAGGCAAAGCACTTATTCATCCACAGCAGAATCACAAATCAGATCCGGCACATGTCTATGAATTTGCTTAAGTTAAATGGTGAAAATCCCCTAAAGACCTACAACTTTGATGGAATAGAAGAAGACTACAAAAAGATGATAAAAGGTTGTGGACCACTACACTAGAGGCTATAAGTTTTTTTTTTTTTTGGGGACAGAGAGAAATCAAAGATACTATAAAGCAAAAAAGAAAAATCTGTGTATCTTAAAGCATAGATGTTTAACTCTCATAGCCTTTTGGTGCAAAAATGCAAATGTAAGAAGTAGACAGGATGGTTAATTTCCTTGATTTTTTTCACACGTAGCTAGTGTTGTAATATGCATACTACTTGGTTTGTACTACTTATCCATTGCACTCTCTAGTGCTCTTCTTTAATAAAATTTTCATTACATTTTTAAAAGAAATGGAAAATTAGCTGCATAAGTTGAGGAAAAATTTTCCCTGTGGGAACGCAACTGTCAAGAAAAGATATTCCGTCTTATGAAATGGGAGAAGTGTCTAGAACTAAAAAAGATGGTAAGTTAGAGGTTAGGGCTAAGTAATCTGATCCTTCAGTAGAAGTTTATTATATAAGTGGCTTTCGGGATGTAGAAGCTTATTATATAAATGGCATTGGAGATGTAATGGAGAAGATGGGTGCTCTTTGGAGGGGAGTGGTCTTTGCAAAGTATGTGATTTTTAATAATTTAAGTGCTAAAGTGGCACAAGCCCCCCATGAATATGGTTTCTGTGTAACTATATATTAAGCCTTTAGCCAGAATTCAAGCCTTTCACAACAGTCACAGTTGGAAACTGGCATAAATCAAGTTTTCCGAGTGATACAAGGTGAGAGAAATACCGCAATATAAATAATTTGGTGGTGCTACTGGATGCAACTGTAGCGCATACAGATCTGAGAAAGTATGGTATATATAATACTAAGAAGAGACTTGTCAGACTGGAAATGGACAGCCAAAATTGTTGGCCAGGTTGGAGGAGAAGGGACAGAATAGTGAATGCAAAGACATGTTAAGAGTGGATAACTGACAGTAGAGGTACTTTTACTGCCAAATCTAGCTATAAAACTTTATTTTCAACAAAAATGGAGGCGTGACTTTAGAATGCAATCTGTGAAACCACGGCATCCCCTAAGGTGGCACGCTTTGGGTGGATTGCAATCAATGGAATTTACTCACACGTGATAATCTAATGAAGAGGAGAATTTTACTATAAAATAGATGTCATATGTGTGAAGTGGGAGAAGAAACTGTAGCTAGCTTCCATCATAGCTCATAAGGAAGCATGTTATCTGTACTTCAAATCCTATCTAAAGCTGCACTTTCTTGGTGCTTGCAGTAAATAATAACCATACCTGACTACTTCTTTCGAGTTATAAAAGAAAGTTGCTCTCACCAACAAAGACAAAGTTGAAGAAATTGAAAAATACATTCTAATGAAGCTAATAGATCACTAAGCAATCAGTCCCATCCAGGGAGATGCTATTCCTATGTCGACATGCCGAAAAATATGACACCCTTCTGAGAATATAACAATCTAGACCCAATAATGGAAATTCATTAAAGTTACAGAGAGAACCACCATGAGATGTTTTGCCTCTAAAACCATTAAGCAACAGCCAGCAAGTTACCTCGAGAACCTGTTGTTCAACTGTTCTGTCATCATCAGCAGCACGACCACCAACATAGGTAAGGTATTGCATTATCAATTTTGTTGTCTCTGTTTTCCCTGCTCCACTTTCGCCACTAACCAATATAGATTGGCTTTGGTTCTCAGACATCATAGCCCTAACAAAGAAATTTGAGCAAAAATAGATCACCATTTGGTTCACTTTTGGCAAACCTAACTAGATCCTCAAATGACCAGTCACCAAACCTGTATGATGCATCAGCCACAGCAAACACATGCGGGCTAAGCTCACCGAATGGAGCTCCTTTATATTGCTCCATCATGTGCACGTTGTACAGATGAGGAAGTTTAGTGAATGGATTGACAGCAATTAAGATGCTTCCTGTGTACGTCTATTAAAGGGGAAAAGGGGGAAAAGCAATTATATCACAATGCATAAGTAGGATGACGGTGTTAGAGCATATGAAAAAATGGCTATTTAAGTTAACATCGACAGGAACTGCAACTACTGAAACCCCCCAGGCAAGAGCAATGATTCTTAACTAAAGCTACTGATTTTAAGCACATTGTTATATGCAAATAGCTTTTGGTTCAAAATTTAGGTTAGCACACCATATGTCAAAATCGATGAGACATTCTAGAATCAGTGGCGGATCTATGTGGAGGGGCAGGGGTTCACATGCACCATGCTCCTCTTCCTAGACTATGTATAACAATGCTATATATCTTGAAAACTACTTAAATACAAGTGTATGCATCCAAACTCAAAGAGTCATATGGTGCAATTACTGGTGCACCTTTATAAGTGAGTTTGGGGGTTAAATCACATGTTTGTCTTCTTGTTTTTTTTCCTCTCTTTTTTCCTAGAATTGGACCCACCCATGGGGATGGGCAAGTCTGGTATCCCTTCTTCATTTTAGTTAAGTACTTTTATTTTTCTTTGTTTGGTTTATTCTTTCAAATTTTTAAATTCCCACACATTGAAATCCATATTCTCCTATTGTTGCTGTAAAAGTTTGTTTAATTCAACAAATGTCTATATTAAAACTAGCAGCAGTGGAGGATATAGTATATAGTCAATGGGTTTTACNATATATATATATATATATATATAAATCTAACCTATAGTTTTACAGTGCAATGGGTTCAACGGTAAGAATCTAAAGGTTGAACCTATGAAATTTAAATCCGGGATCTATTTATTCGTAGTAGTCCACCAATCTTCTTGAAATCCTAGATCTATCCCTGTCTAGAAGGCCCGCACAAGATATAGCTTCAAATCTTTCCTCACCAAAATATTTTCAAGGATATACTTTAAGCAAATATTGCAAACACATTGCAGCAGTCTGGGGGCAAATATCAACTGCTACAGTGAATAAACTCAATAAAGTGTATCAATTAAGCCAGAGGGCCCATTTGAGTAGAATAACAAAGTAACATCCAGAACAAGGTAGATATACTATTCATCTACCAGAACAAAAGTAGAACAAGGAATTGAACAAATATGGCGCAGGTTGATAATGGAATTTCATTGACTTATTCCTAAAACCCTAAATGGATCGAATGCAGAACCATTTTAGAAGCTTTATTTTACTTTTCTTAGTACTCCATATAGACACTAGTAAGAATAACACTACTTCAAGAAATAAGATAAAGATCCATTAATTAAATTATGATACATTATGTTTTCCTTCCTCCTCCAACCAACCACTATACAATAAGCTTGTAACCCTGCTCCACGCCCAAAGCATCTTTCTTTAACTGGTAGGTAAAGCTAGAAGAGGCATCACTAACACTATGCGCAGACATGAAAGCTCTATCAATAGAAGGATTCAAGTTTTTTCTTAATTTATAAAAGAGAAATTATCAAGAAATGTAAAAATGAGAACTAACATAAATTTCATTAAGAGCATATCTTCTCTGAAGATTGTCTAAAACACCGGGTTCATTCAAATAAGTCAATTTGGTCATGTCATCAACTCCTCCATGGTCTGCCTCTTCATCCCTTGGGTACAACTTCTCCGGTAAAGCTAACATCTACAAAAATTAATTAACATTTTTCAATCAACCCATTTGACTAAAAAAAATTGGTCAAAATCAACAGAGAAAAATTCAAAATTTGAAAGTGCTCTCACTTTCTTCCCAGAATCAGTAACGACTTGAACTTGTTTACCGATAAAATCAGTCACTCCAGCTGCAACCCAGGCGGAACTTTTGTCTTCGACCCATACTTTAGAGCCCTTTCGCAGTGTCATTTTTTGGATTTTGGATTAGCTAAAGCGGCATAAAATATCAACTATCAACTATTCTGTGTGAAAAAATGGGGATTTTTTGGATTTGAAATTTGAAGTAGCATCAGCAATTAGAAAAACCCTAGAGAGAGAAAGTTCAAAAAAAAAAGGACGATATCAAGAGAGAAGAAAATATTGATTTTATCAGCTTCCCGCCCTAAAACCAAAAATGGAGCATCTGACACAGTCCAAATTTTTGGCCTTCTGTTGCCTAGCGTTTTCTTAAGAGTATATTTACTAAATGGGGAACTTAGAGCTCGTGATAGACAAATTGAGGTAGAATTTTTGAAAACTTTCTTAATTTGGATAGAATTGTTCCAAGTTTTAATTTTGTTCCATTTACTACAAAATTGATGGTTAACCGTTAGAATTAGATGCTTCTTCTGTGTAATAATCTTTGTCAAACTAAAGTATTAAGATATACACAAAAGGTTTATATATGTACTTCGTTATATTTTAGGTCTAAATATATTTTTGTCGTAATATCATTGGTTCAAATATACTTTTCTTTTGTTAAGTTTGTCCAAGGTAAACATCCAATCTTATGTGGCACTGACATTTGATGAGGTGGATGTCACGTGGCATCCATCTCATTACACCTAACCCATTTTACCCCTCTCTATTTATTTTTTTACCACTAAAATTTCTTTTCCTCTACCATCATTGTCGCCATAATCGACACCATGAACAATATTGGATTTTCAGCTAGTCAACTCAGATCAAATTAGAGTATCTTAACAGTATGAGACTGAATGATGCCATCTTGCAAATGCTTTGAGCACTTAGGTCTACAAAAAAAATACGTCAATTGGTCACCCCCAATATACACATTAGTAGTAGATAAAGAGATTATCTAGTTTCTCGAGGAAGAGAACTTCACCTGAAATTCAAGAAGTTTCGGATTGTATTGAATCTAATACGAGTGATGAGTCGAGAAACAAACATATATAAAAAATTAAACTTTACAACAACAACAACAATAACTCAGTAAAATCTCACAAGTGGGGTCTGGGGAGGGTAGTATGTACGCAGACCTTATCCCTACCCCGAAGGAGTAGAGAGGTTGTTTCCGAAAGACCCTCGGCTCAAGATAATAAGAAAAAATAAAAGGAGAGAATATTAGTTTCACCATAGTGATCATAGGAAAAATAGGAACATGAAATGCAGAAGAAAAATACAAGGCAGAAATGATGGCTAGTAAATAGGTCCTGCATCGAAAAGAGAAAATATTAAGACACGACAATGCCCCTAGCTATTTTAGACAAAAACCTTACCAAACTAGGCTCACAACGGTACAAAGTAACGTAAGACTCAACTACCTCCTAGCCTACAACCGTAATACTCGACCTCCACAACTTCCTATAAAGTGTCATGTCCTCGGAAATCTGAAGCCTCGCCATATCCTACCTAATCACTTCTTCTTAATACTCCTTAGGCCGCCCTCTACCTCTTCTCGTGCCCTCCACAACTAGCCGTTCACACCTCCTTACTGGAGCATCCGGGCTTCTCCTCTGTACATGCCCGAACCATCTGAGCTTCGCTTCCCGCATCTTATCATCAATGGGAGTCACGTGCACCTTCTCTCGAATTTCATCATTTCTAATCTTGTCCATCCTAGTGTGCCCGCATTTTAAACTTTGAAGTACAATATTGTTCGTGGTGGCGATAATAGTGGCAATGGTAGTGGAGGAGAAGAAAAATTTTGTGGTGGAAAAATTAGAAGGGATAGGTAAAATAGGTTAGGGGTACTGAGGCGGCTTGCCACCTCTTCAAATGTCGAGGACACATAAAATTGGATATTCACCTTGGACAAACTTAACGGGTATTTGAACAAATAGTATAACGGTAGTGATATATTTGGACCCAAAATATAACGAGGGGTATATTTAAGCTTTTTATTACATCTCGCATTTTCGTATGTTAAAATTTTGTCGTAAGTTAATCGACGTAAGTTCGGGAATGGGATTATTTTGAGATTATAGGCATTATGCTATTTCCAACAAGTAATGAGTAAATTTGTGAAGGCGAGAGGGGAAGCAAGCCAAAGAAAATTTTCGTCCAAGTTTGGCATGTCGGGATAAAATATGGGTCGAGTGTTAATACCTGATATTTATGGACTAGTACCATACAATGTACTATATGACCAGGATAGTAGGATGTATAAAGTGTATTAAAAATAAGTAGAATTTTAAGTAATTTAAGACAATTAATAATTATGTGGGTAATTGGTTAATTATCGGATAGCGGGATATTACCTAATTAAATTAACTCACTGATAGATAAGATCAAAATAGCAAGTGGCAACAAACTAATACACCAACCATATGACTCTTAGTCATAATTCATGACTAAGAGTCATTTTTTTATAGGTGGCAACCTCGTTTGCCTTCTAACATTTTGAGTGCAAATAAGATTCCTATAAAATTCTAGTAACGTAGCAGTATGACTACTTACAAACTTGACTCCTTAGTAATGTTACTTCTTACAAACTTTACTTCTTAATAACGTGACTTCTTAGTAACATTTTAATACAAATCAGATTTTCAATACAAACCAGATTCTAGTAACGTGATTCTTCAACCAATCCAACGAGAATTGTTAAAGCTTTAGCAACGTAAAATATTGCGATTCTAAGAAAGTACGGTGCAACTTTTTCCAAGAATATCATACGGATTTTCCCTTACTCCAGGTATGTTAAGGTTATCCCTCATTTCTTTTTGGCATGATCCAAATAATAAAAATGAAACGAGCAAAATACACGACTTTCATAAATGACTCAATTCATAGAAATACTAGGGGGTGTCTATATTCTTGATTCCCCATGGGGATTATTATTATATCTTCTGTTCATGGGTATCAGAAAAATACGTATTTGATAAAGTTCATCCGAAAGACATATAGATTTTTATGGCATTCCAAGAAAATCTTATTAACGTATTTTTATGCATTTAATGCATTTATACAGGTACATTGACCCATGAACACACGACGTTATATACGCATATAAATGTATATTATATTTATATGGGATATGGGAAAAGATTACTGCGTTATATACGCACCACTACTGATCAGCTGGTATACGTTGATGATTTTGCCCACAGTGACCGAGATGATATGATGTGATGCCCTCAGAGGCCTGATGATGTTATGAAACATATACATATGCACGATATGACATTCATACGCATATGTATGACACTATAATTATATCATGATTTATAGAGTTATCCAGACTTATAGGTTCAGTCATTTACTCTATATTTCTTCCATGTCTGTTATGTACTTATTTATGTGCCTTACATACTCGGTACATCATTCGTACTAACGCCCATTTTGCCTGGGGACGCTGCGTTTCATGCCCGCAAGTCTCGATAGACAGGTCGAGAGTCCTCTAAGTAGGCTATCAGCCCAGCGGAAGATGTTGGTGCGCTCCATTTGCTTCGGAGTTGCTTGTTTGCTTAATATAATTTAAACATGTAATGTTTGGTATGACGGGACTCTGTCTCAGTCTTTATGAAAAAAATGTATTCTTAGAGGCTTGTAGACATATGCCATGTACGTAAAAGATTGTATGGCCTTGTCGGCCTATGTTCAGTACACGAGTGGTTATTTTGGTCTTATAGGCACGTACTTCACATGTATAAGTTTGTATTCCCTTATGCTTTACTCCAGTTTATTTACCTATGATAGAATGATATGAAAGATATGTTACGTTAGTACTCGGTTGACTAAGGTACCAGGTGCCCGTCGCGGCCCATCGGTTTGGGTCGTGATAAAACTGGTATTAGAGCACTTTTATCCTATGGAGTCTACAAGCCGTGTCTAGTAGAGTCTTGTTTATTGGTGTGTCGTGCACCACACTTATAAGCAGGAGGCTACATGGCATTTAGGACTGTCACTCTTTCTTCTTACTCTAGATAGTGTGGTAGAGCTTAGTTGTAAGAACTAAATTTTCTAAACTCTATCTTATTCGTAATATGACGATGCCTACATTTAGAAAACTGGTTGGTAAGGGATTGAATACGGTTGCGAAAGAGTTGAGTCAGAAGAACTCGATGAGCTTCTGGAAAAAAAGTCTTAAGGCAAGAATATCTATCCACCTTTATGGTGAAAGACAATGAGAGATTCAGAAGATAAATACAAGTTTTAACAAGTAAAGAAAACAAGGTGAAAGAGGGTACGAGGTACCCAGCTAATGAAGATTATCCTTACGTACCATTATAAGCATTTTGAGTTGCCTTCAACAGTAATAGAGATACGTGCAATTGGCCACACCGATCTAAATTATGCTCTATGAGAGCTAACAAATTTAGTTTAAGAGAAGGACATAATATTACGATCTGGCTGGGGTTAGAGTGACCCAAAATGGTGGATGAATTGTTTGCGTTAGGTGACATTGCCAAAGGATATTGCAAATATGCTAATAGATCTCCCTGTGAGACACACAGATGGTGCACTCAAAAATAGTACAAATAGATATGAGTACTACGAAGATAGGCACTAAAAGTGTGGAAAGGATAAATATTACCTTAGTGTGACTCTCGTCCCTAGTAGAGCGAGGACGTTGAGAAACCCGAAGAGCCGATGAATGAAGCAAGGGGAGCTAAAAGCAAAAGAATGTCTTGTTGAAGTTTTCACAAGAAAGGGATAGGCACAAATATTATTAGAGTAATGAGAAGAGAAATAAGGAAGAATTATAAGCAAGATGTGATACATGGATGACAACGATGGAAAAATAAAATGAAATGACAGTATTACATAGTCGATAATCGAGGGAAGGAAAAAAATGAGAGGTGCCAGGCCTGGTGACAATAAAAGAGTATAGGCCATACAGTCACATCCTCATTTCGAGAAATAAGTTCGCAACTCTAATGTGATTAGCAGAAGGAAAAGTTAGACCCTAGAGTAATAGAAATCAGTATGAGCTGGTGAACAAGATAAACTAAGCATAAACTGGGAACTGAGTGATTTGACAATAGTCAACATCATGAGAATTTTAGATTGTATTCCGGCAATAATAGAATGGACAACAGAAGAAGGTCCATGATGAATTTTGAGAATGGTCAGTTAGGGAGACGTTTCCCTAAAGCAAGCAATATGAGCAAAGTTAAGCTTAAGGGACTGTATGTGCCAGTTACACTAAGTGTCACCATCGCGAATGAGGAATTTTGGTATCCTTGGCACAGAAGGATTACCGCAAGGCGAGTAAAGATCATTGATGATGTGAAAAGACGCCAAAGATAAAGGGGAAAAACATCTATAGGC